CATCACTGAGGGAAGTCAGGGCAGGAAGGCAAGGTTGGAACCTGGAGGCAGAAACTGAAACAGAGGCCATGGATGAACAACATACACTAGTTTGTTCTGCCTACATTCTTAGAGCATCCAGGACCACCAGCCTAAGGGTGGCACTGTATTTCCACATCAATCACCAATCAAAAAAATGCACCACGGGTTTGTGCACCAGTCTATCCGGTAGAAGATTTTTCTGCTTCTCAAATGACTCTAGCTTGTGTCAAGTTGACATAAAACTAGCAAGCACAGTGTATGTTCTCTCTCTCTCTCTCTCTCTCTCTCTCTCTCTCTCTCTCTCTCTTCTGAAGCTCATTCATACAGCTTTTTTAGTTCTAGTTATCAATGAAAAAAGAAAGTTTTGATCAATAAAATATAACCTATAGGTAAAGCCAGAAATCTCACCAAAAGGTTGAAGACCAGATTCTATACAACTTATGCATATTTAAAACACACATGCTTGGCAGATATTTTGCTAAAATTATTTTCTGTAAAACATGAACCAGGCAGGAAGCCTGTGCACAGTGAATTGATTTCCAAGTCTTATTTGTGGCTGACTTGAGGTTAGAGAGCATTTCTGCACTGGGTGGAGTGGTACAATGAATGTTTATTGTTTAGGATTTAAAAGGTCTATTATCATGCAGACTCAGAAAGGTTCTGCCACACAAAACTGAGTACCAGGCCAGCAGGCAACTGATTCAATGACAAGAGGTGAGCTGTCACAGCCCTTCTTTGCTAATGAAACACATCCTAGAACTCAGAAGGAATCCTAAGCTCAGTAAGAGATCAGATCGAATTTATTAATCAGAACTCTAATTTTAGACTTCTTTCAAGTCACAGAAAAAAAAAAACTGGATGCTGCTTCGACAATAAAGCAATGTTTGTAGTTTGAGTCATGTATTCCTGGATTCCTCTTATTATAACTGAAAGTGAGTTTTGATAGGAAAAAAAATCTACTCCCATTAACAGATACAGTCAGGTAGGTAGTTCCCTATCCAATCTTCAGCCTTAACTTTGTAATTTCTAATTCTGTCTGAAATGCTTGTCAGAGAGTCAAAATCAGAATGTTGGTTGTGGTTCTGCCAGTCACTAGGTGTAGAACTTAACTTAGTTTCTTTATCTGCCCAGGTAAAGGTACGAGTAAGGGGATGGAATGACAGTAATCTACAGACTCCATCCCACTATGAGAATCTTATAAAAACCATGGACCCTCTCCTGTGCATACACAAACATTCGACATAAAGTATAGAATAAATCAGTAGAAGAATTCTCAAGAATCACAAGTTTAGGAAAAAGGGGTTAAGGCGCATGCTGCCAAGCATGAGGACCCAAGTTCCGTCTTTGGGAACCACATGTGGAAGGAGAGAACAGATTCCTGAAAGCTGTCCTCTGGCCATCACATATACACTATCATAGTCACACGCCTCCTCCAACTCCTGCCAAATCAATCAATCAATCAATCAATCAATCAATCAATCAATAATTTTCAAAAAAGAATTAGACATGTAGTACCCTGAACAGGATCACTCAAGCTTTCAAACTGGCCATATTTGGCTTCTTGACTATCTTCTGCATGTAGATAAAGATGATAGACATTAGACTGTGCTGCATTCCCAGGTCTATTCTTGACAGGATAAGATGGCTGCCTACTCCTTTCTTCATACAACTACCTCTACATGGCATGGTCAGGAAGAAAGTTTGCTCCAAATAACACATATTCTGTTATATCAAATATCAATCTCTAGTGCCATAAAACAAGACATGTCTGTATAAGTAAGCTACAAACTCAAAGAATGTAAGTGCAGACAAATTATGTCTATGGAAAGGCCAATGGAGTCAGTAGACAATGATGTCACAGAGACACTGCATGTTGTAGTTGGAAGTATGTTATGCAGTGTTCTATCCTCATAGAGTGTGTACCTCATAATCTATGCAATAGTCTAGTGTTGATGTCACCAGTAAGTAACAAGTTTGTAGAACAGTTCTTTCTTACCACTGTTTTGAAACATAAAAACAAAACATTTGTCAATATGCAAAAAGAGACTCCTCTTTTAACTTTTAAAATTATCAGGTAATATATGTCAAACCTTCATGCCAATTCCTGACCCAAAGACTGGAGGTATAATGAGAGTACAAACAAAGTTGATGGTGGGGTAGAAAGAGTATGTAATATTTTAAGGACTTGTTATTCCAAGGTCACTCTTTTTACTAAATGTGAATCCATAGGAGTACTTTTCTATCTCTTTAAAATCCATATGTAAGGACCTTGATCCCTCTCCCACAAGAAACAATAAACCTCAAGGGAATAAACATATGCCTGGTAAAAATTTGCAAAAGAAGCTGAGGTGTTGAATCAGCTTGCACCTGCCTGGCATTGGGGCACTGCAATTAATTCCAGTACTGACATCACCAGCCAAGTGACACAGTGACCATATTGCAGTAAGTAGATATACTATGAATAGCCAAATCCTCCTAGACTTTATAGAAAGCCTATGCAGTGATAAAACCAGGAAGAGACTTGACATACTTCAAAAAAGAGGCTATGCAACAGCCAATTCAAAATAAGAAGTGCCCACATATTGATGATTACAAAGTGGAGTCAGAAATAGGTTGATAACCAATAGTTTATTGGGGAAAAGTATGCACACAAGGGAGCCAGTGACCAGGTTTGCATCTGAGCAGGAAGGACGCAGAAATGCTTCCCAGTCAGCTCAGCCAGGTGAAACACAGTGGTGTGCATGCCTCCCTCCCTCTTAAACCCTGGTTACCTAACTCTGACCATGCCCATTTGGGTGTGGTCAGTGATACCTATGACGAGGTCCAAGCTGGTGTAGTCAGTGGTACCTCTAATCAGGGTTTCTCCCTACACCCACCCTCACAAACTACCAAGAAAATAAAAATTCACCTCCATTTAAATACCATTACCCACTAGAAATCATAAAAAAGAAAAGTGGGCAATATAAATCATAGGAGAAATGTGAAGTGGCCAGGACATCATGCTCTCCTCATGTGAGCCAAAGTTGAGTACACCTTTGGACACAGCAGCTTCATCAATTGGTACATGTGTAACAAAATTATTTACAAGTTGTGCATAAAAATGTTTATAGTGACACAAATCATACTAGTCCTGATCTGAAAGAACTTAAATGTTGTTCTTGCTGAAGACCCAACTTTGGTTCCCAACACCCGTGTCAGGAGACCCAGAACCATCTATAAATCCAGCTCTCAAGGATCTGATGCTCTATTCTGGCTTCCCCAGGTACCTACATGCATGTGGCATACACATACAAATACTCATACACATAGGTAAGATATTCTTTAATCTTTTAAAAATAGAATGAATAAACATACTGAAATATATTCACGCAAGGGAAAATTTTATGACAAACTACACTCAGGTACAATGAAAATGGTAGTATAACAAACATTTTGTTGGGCAAAAGAACCAGACACAAAGAATGTAACTGTGAGGGTCCCTTTCTGTGAATTTCAAAAGGCCCCAAAAGGGCTAGTGTTTGTGGGTCTGCAAGGTCCCAGACAACAAAGCATCAGAGACATGTGGTTCAGACAGCACTCTGAAAGCACAGAGTGGAGCATAAAAAAATAGGAGCTACCGACCATCACTAAAGCTAGAATATTTATCAAGTAAAGCACCAGACAAACATCTGAAATCTTCCTAAGCTAAGTTTTTGTTTTGTTTTGTCTTTTTCTTTTCAAATTTAAGTCCTTAGCCATCAGTGCAAAATTGACTCTGCCATGCAGGAGTAAACAAACTGCAGATGAAAACAAAATTACCTTTTGTGACTAAGCACAATGCTACACCACTAAATAAATGTGATGCGCATTTGTACCTGTTAGTCCTCCTTATTTGCACTTTTTACTTTCTGCAGTTTCTATTACCCATGGTGAAGCATGATCTACAAATATTAAATGAAAATTTCCTCAAATAAATGACTTGCAAAGTTTATATTACACACAGTTTCACTTATTAGAAGAAATCTCATGTCACCTCACTTCATTCCACCTGGTTATAAATCATCCTTTTGTTCAGTGTATCCATGTGATGTATGACCACACCCATTAGTCATTCAGTAGCCAACTAAAGTATATTAACCATTGAGACATCACAATGTCTAAGTTCAGGTAACCCTGATGCTACATAACCTTCCTACAGCCTCAGTCACTTCATCTTATCATGGATGTGTGGGATCACTCATATCACCACAACGATGCTGATGTATAAGTACTATATTTTGAGAGACAAAGTGAGACTGTGTTCATATAATCTTTATGACAGTATTATTGTGATTGGTCTATTTTATTATTAGTCACTATTTAATCCTTTACCACACACACTTCCCCATTAATAGCTCATAGGTGTGTATGTCGTTATTTAAAGTATAAATTTGGGGGTTAGAGAGATGGTTCAGTAGATAAGAGCACTGGCTGCTCTTCCAGAGGTTCTGGGGTTCAATTCCAACACTCACATGGCTGCTCATAACTATCTGTAACTCCAGTTTCAGGGTATCAGACACCCTCTTTTGTTCTCCACAAACACCAGGCATGCACATGGTGTATAGACTTACAAACAGGCAAAACAGTCATATACATAAAACACAGTATAAGCTTTGATGCTGTTTCTATGAACCAACTCCTGCATCATTGCCTCCACAGGGAAGGGCTACCACTGAACTTGTATAGTGGGGAAGCCACTCAGTCAGAAAGAGGCTTTAAGTCATCATTCAGCCAGGACAACTGCTTGCTGGACTCCTACGTACTATGTGCTTAATAATCTTATGGTCAGGGCAGCCCGTCCCTGGCAAGGACCCCATGTAACTGTGACTGTGGAGGTATACACTGTGGAAACAGTCAGTGTATTATTACATAGTCTTCTATACATGGTCCTAAGGAATAAACAGCTAAGCTTATAGGATGGTCTGGCCAAGACTGACTTCTCCTGACAGTCAAACACTTACTGTTCACCAAATGGTAAAGAGAACATTTTCAACCTGGATGTGTGGTCAGTCTCCTCGAACAAACCATAGCTGTTGGGTGGTGGTAGTGTGGACCTGAGTGAGCCCTGGAAAACCAGACAGAGAACAAGCAGCAAATGGCACATTAACATGCAAGAGTTATTTATCAATGATTAATCCAAACAGTACATGACTAGAAGGAAAACACTTTGGCAAACGTTTTTAAAACACAGCTACTTTCCACATAACCAAAGCAATCACGATCTCTTCTGAGCACACAGCACTTCTGGATAGGTGTCAGCAGGGACTGGGGAGCTTTAAGAGGCCCCAGAGTGGTTAATGGGAGAATTAGCACAATTCAGAAAAGACATTAATTAGGTCAATCTGCTGTTCTGAAAAACTTTAGCACCTCTCCAATGCTATTAGTGAATTAATGACCCCAGCTGCTGAACAATAGACAAAGAGCAACACAAAACTTTGGGTGGTGGAGGCCAACTTTAGAAGAAGCATAAGAGAGAGTTAAGAAAGTTGGAAATTTACAATAAGAATCAATGGAGGTGTGATTATGAGTTAAAAACAGACAATGAGAAAATGAATTTTTCTTAAAAAAGAACTAACTCAACACCAGTCATACAGCTGAAATGAAAAGGATAAAAATCCCAGTGACACAGTATGTAGACCCTGTAACTTCTCTAAAGAGGTAAGATTCTCTTATATAGAAAAACTTAAATTGGCTCAATAATGCACTGAACTATGTGGTATTCCAATTGTTTTTATATTATTTGTTCATTTTTTATACAGGTGCTGGGTAGCCAAAACTATGTTACCCAAGCTCAGAAATCCTCCTGCTTTAACCTTCTGTGCTGCAATTACAAGTATGAGCCAGTTAATTTTCTGAATTCTAAATTAAATTAGTTCCAACACCAAACCACCTGCATCAAGGTAGCATTAAGTCTTAGCAGGCTCTTTTGGGACCTTACACAAGGCTCTAAAAAGAAATGTCCTTTCTTAATTCCAAGGTTATTCCCAAGCTGCTGGTCCTGCCTGGCCTTTGTTCTGTACTTTCCATGAGCAAATGCTGGCCCCGAATGGTGGCACATGCCTTAGTTACAGCACTTAGGAGGCAAAGGCACATGGATATCTGTGAGTTCAAGGCCAGCCTGGTCTACAAAGCAAGTTCCAGAACACCAGATTATAAAGACAGACCTTGTCTCAAACAACCAAACAAACTAAAAGGACAGAGCTGTCCTTCCCAGTCACCAAAATAACCACTGAGATTTTCCTAGGAATTCTACAGTACCCACTTGAGGGTGTACTAACACCCTTTATAATATGCTATATGTTTATAACCCATGTGCTGCAGATAATATTTGTCAGTGGCAGTGGTGCAGTATCACATAATTTGACAAGCTACTTGTTTCAAAATATGAGAGCATGATCAACAAATCGTTCCACTGGAAAATTATGCAACAATCAATATTCAACCAACTATCAAGACTTTGTGTTCACTTTTTCATAAAAACCAATATATTAATATTAATAACTAACTCAGGTGTGTGCTTTCCTTTATCATGTTATAAATCAACATTTTTTCAAAAGCTAAAACTTTTGTCTCCACACAAATAGTTCTTGATGTATTATAACTAGAAAAAAAGAGCAATGATTCTTTTCCAGAATAACTGTCAAGTCATTTAAAAAAGGGATCTTTCATGAATAACAAATCATGCTGAATGCCTTGAATTCCTCATGCCGGCTTCCCACCACTTTCATATCTGTTTGTAAGATAGTTTTTTTTTTTTTTTTTAATGTGGGACTTTATACAATTAACCAATGACGTTTCATCAGTTTTAACACACAGGATAGCAATGACATTTCAGTGAGAACTGAGACAGCATGATCTTGGATTTGTGGGGACCAGGGTTCAAGACATGTAGTAACATTCTCTAAATTTGCAAACAGGCTTCTAGCAACAGACTGCACAAAAAATTCTAACTTTCTTAGCAAATGATGACTAAAGAGCATAATGCTTTCTAAGAAGTAAAGCTGAAGGAGATTCATAATGGGCACAGATGGTTAAGACACTGAATGAGTGGTAACTGTGGGACAGCTCAAGTGCAAGAGCTTTGAAGTCAATTTCTGTGTGGTTCTGCTCCATGAGCTTTTGAGTACATTCCTCCCAACACTGAGGGAAGGTCAGAAATATGAAATGATGGTTTTTCATCCTCTCAATATACTAGTTATATACTGTCTTGGGGTTTCTATTGCTATGAAGAGACACCAAGACCATGACAACTCTTATAAAGGAAAAAAAAAAACATTTAACTGGACTGGCTTACATTTTCAGAGGTTTTGTCCATTATCTTCATAATGGGACATGGTAGCATGCAGACAGACATGGTGACAGACAAAGAGCTAAGAATGGAGGAGCTACATATTGATCCTGCAGGCAACAGGAAGTAGTCTGAGACACTGGGCCTGTAACTTGAGCATATATGAGACCACAAAGCCCACCTCCACAATGCCACACTTCCTCTAACAAGGCCATACCTACTCCAACAAAGCCACATCCCCTAATAGTGCCACTCCCTAGGAGCTTATGGGGGTTCAAACTATCACATACACTAACATGGAAGCATGCCCTGTGAATGCATCAGCCTGTCAGGATGTCTTGTGTGATGTTGCTTATCCTGGACACCAAAATATGGCATCCACAAAGATAAAGGGAACCTTCTTCTCCAGCCTCACACAGTTTTGTGGACTCAACTGGTAATAGGAAGATTAAACTAAAGAAATTATATATGTTAATGTGAATGAGGAAATAAATATTATAGGCTAAGAGTCATATATAAGGTATAAGAGTGCCCCATGGACCAGAAGGTTGAGGCTTAAATAATTTCCCCAGCTTCAGAAAGACAGAGAGAGGAGGGGAGGGGGTGTCTTGAGGTGTGCTGAGAGGTGCTGCAGATAAGATCCAGGAGGGATGAAGTTAAATACACAGAACAAAGTTATCTTCCATTGCAATTGAAGTCTCTCAAGCACTCTCTGGCCCTGCCACAGAATAGATTAGAAGTCTTTCTAGGGTAGTGGAGATGTCTGGGTATAGAGATACTTATTCCAAATCTTCTCCCACAGTTAATATTTCCTGGATCCTGAGACTTCCTAACAGTTGCATTCCTCCTATAAGAATGACCTAGACTCTAGAGGAAGCCCTTTACTGTACTTCAAGAGAGAAAAGGATTAAAACACAGGACAGTAAGCGCAAAGGTCGCAGAGAGATTTTGAGGTTGCTCCTTTGATCTGAAGTTATCACTCTTTAAAGTTTGATGCATGTATGTTTGCTTGTTTTGATTCCTAGCACATTAAGTAGGTGGGCAACAAGTGAGGAAGCACAAATGACAACCTCTGTGTGTGTCCTTAACCTAACAATGCGTGAAGATAGAGGACCTACTGAGAATGAGCAAGCAACATTAGATACAACTCCATTCATTTACTTTACATACTTATCAGCAATAAACCAGAAATGGAGGGAAATGGGATAAAAGGGAGGAAGGGAGATGGAGAAAGGAGGAGGGAAGAAGGAAAGAAGGAAGAAAAATAGTGATTTCAGAATCAATTTCTAGATAAAGTTACAGTCTGGTCCACTTTGGGTCCTTTCTAGGGCTTTGCATGGCCCTCAGTTAACATTTCTTTATATGTACAGTGACCTGCTAGTCAGTTCTTAAGACTAACAATGTTATGCTGCAAGTCTTTGTTTGTTTGTTTTAATCTGAGAGTTCAAAGCCATATGTAAGGAGCCTAAGAGGCTTTCTTACTGAAAGGGAGTCATACAAAAAAAGAGAAATGAAACAAAAAGGGAAAGAGAAAGCTGAGTCCTTCTCAGAGTCCCCAGGACTGCACTGTACTCATGGTAAAGTCCATTCTCTCATCCTATTCCTCTCTGCTCTAAGAGTGGTCCAGGGATTGCCAAGTACCGGTTTTTATACCACACATACACACACACACACACACACACACACACACACACACACACCCGAGGAGCAGAGCCCATTCAATATTTTATATTATTCTTATCAAATATTGCTTTGTAGTCTGGATTCTCTGCACAAGGGAAATAGTCTCTGCTTTAAATTATATCAGTAGCCAATATTCAAGCCCCTTTGTGTTGAGAGGGAAGGACACCATGCTATTTCCTGAGCAGTACTTGAATAGCCCCCTATAACAACATCCTCAGGAGTTCACTGTGAGTTATATTTCACCCCCAATTGATCGAAAGAATAATATTGACTCAAAAGATGATTTTTTAAATATTATGAAAATTCTGTTTATTCTTGACAATATGAAGTGACAGGTTTCTTTTAATTTATAAAATTCGGTAGTGGCATGAGCATCAATTTCACACTTTATTCACAGTCTGGGCCCATCTCAGATTCAATCTTCTCTTTCTTGACTAGTACAATGGTGTCTATGAAAGTACTTTTGAAAATAACACTGGGTGGTTTTGATCAGATTTCTGCAACTGATTATCATAATGGTGGGAACATGACTGAAATCTATCCATAATCTTGTCCACAATCAACACTAAGGGATCACCCAGATAAATTAATTTCTCTGAGACCTAGAAGTCAGTCAAGCTCTTTTTCTGTTAAATACATGTGCTGGTTAGATTTTTTTTTTTTTTTTTTTTTTTTTTTTTTTTTTTTGAGAACAGAAACTAGTCACTTGGGAAGAGGGAACATCAGTGGAGGAATTTCCTCCATCACATTGGCCTATGTCTGGGAGGGGACTGATGTGGGAGGGACCAGCCCACTGTAGTGTGGCCCTCACTGAGCAGGCAGTCCTGGTTTGAGTAAGAAAACCAGTTGAGCAAGCTATGTGTGGTAACAAGTCAGTAAGCAGTGCTTACTGTGGTCCCTGCTTTCCTTCTTGCCTCCAATTTCCTGCCTTGACTTTCCTCAGTAATGGACTGTTACCTGGAAATGTAAGGTTGAATAAATCCTTTCTACCTAAGTTGCTTTTGGTCCATGTTTTATTACAGTGTGCATACATGCAAGAGAGGGGGGGGTGTAATAACCATTTACCACATGCCAGGTACTTTGCTAAGCACTTG